CGTAGGGGAGAGCCACCCAAGAGGAGGAGGCGCGGGCAAGGGAGAGTTGGAAGGGGCAAGTGACTTGGAAGCAGATGCGAAGGGGGCAGAGCTGCTGCGTTCCAGGCACCTGGAGCTGGGGGTGCTCCCAGGCCCACGCAGAGCTGCTGGGTGACCAGAGGGAAGGAGGTGCTTAGGCCCCATCACTGGGAGCCTTGTGGGCCATGACACGGATCCGGTGTTGGGTATTTGCAGTCACTGGCTACTGCAGGGTCTGAGAGGAGAGGCCACTGAATGGTGGGGGTTTTTTGTATATTTTTAAATATTTTTAAATTTTTATTGGAAGAGAGACAGAGAGGAAGATCTTCCATCCAATGGTTCACTCCCCAAGCGGCTGCAACAGCCGAAACTGAGCCAACCCAAAGCCAGGAGCCAGGAGCCTCCTCCGGGTCTCCCACGCGGGTACAGGATCCCAATGCTTTGGGCCGTCCTCGACTACTTTCCCAGACCACAAGCAGGGAGCTGGATGGGAAGCAGGGCCACCGGGATTAGAACTGGTGCCCATATGAGATCCCAGCACATCCAAGATGAGGAACCTAGGCCACCGCACCGAGCCCTGAGTGGTATTTTAAAACTGTTTATCTGCACACCACAGGGCATAAGAGGGCAGACATGGTTAAAGGAAACCCATGAGAGTGATCGCTCTCTCAGGGCTCAAGCAGGGGAGGGGCTGAGAGCACGGGGGCCATGCTTCATGCACCCTGATCATTTGGCTCAGCCCCATCATCACCCAAAGGCTGTGTTGTGTATGTGTGTGTGTGGTCGGGAGTCAGGGCACAGCGGACTGCCCCTCCCATCACCTTGGCTAACCCAGGGGTGAGCTTCTGGACAAGAGGCTTTCCGCAGGCACTGATTTGCCCAAGGACACCGAGAGAGAAAAAGCTTCAGTCTCACATTTTCACAGTCATGATGTGTACATGTATGCACTCATGCATATAAAAGAATGAAAATCAAATACAGATAGCCAGAAAAGTTCTGTTGCTGTGTGAGGCTTTGACATAGCGTCAAGGTCTCTTCTGTAATTTGGGATATTCAGGAGAAAAAAAAAACTAGGAAATGCTGACTTAATGGAAAGCATTTGGGCCCTGGGGTAACCAAGCCTACGTTGAAATATGACCTCTGTCGCTGAGAACTCGGTACAGATGAGTGAACTCGCTGAGCGGCAGGATAAGGAGCAGGTACAGGGTGGGGCACTGCCTGCTGCGGCACTCAGGGATGCTCCTGGGGGCTGCTGCCCCCTGCTGGTGTACCTTGGGATGAACCCTCTCAATACCCACAGCCTCAGGTTCTTTGAGAAATGGAGCCGTGAGGGTGCACCTTGCTGGCATCTGGGGGAAACGTCACCTCCAGCGACGCCAGCGAGGGCTTCACATACCACCTGCGGCATTGCAGATGGAATAAGCTCTGCCTCGGTTTCCCCACTGGTAACTGCAGGGGGTTGGATTAGTCCCTTGAGACTCTCCTGAAATTTGTGGTTCTCAATACAGTTTAAAGGGCCAGAAGAATTCAGTTGCCTGGATTTTTTTAGGGCCTTGGCCGTCCCTCTCTGCAGCCCCATGGTGTGGAGAGTGGGGTGAAGATGGGGCACAGGGCTGTTATTCTTAGAAGCATCCTGGAGGCAGGAGACGCTCTTTTCCCGCCCACTGATTTTGGAGCCAGAATCTAGGCTCCTACTTTTATTTCCAAAACAGTGCCTGGTTGGAGCTGCCAGCGCAGCCTCTGGGGCTGCAGGAGCCTGACTCTGAGCAAGCCCTGCTCCCTGCCATCCCAGAGTCCCTCCTCCCCTGGAGCACGGGGCAGCAGCAGGAGGAGGAAGGGGGCCTATCCAGCCAGCTGTCACCAAGAGGCTCTGGGGAGTGTGTGCCAGGAGGTCAGAAAGAGGGGGAGGGTTCAGCTGCGACAGATGGTCCCTGCTCATCCAGCTGTCTCCTTCCTGCCTGTTCAGCTCTTTGCAAAATCCTCACCTGTCCCCAAGGAATCACCCTGTCTGCTTCCTTCGTCTCTCCAGTAATGCAAAATGCTGGCAGGTTAGAACTTTCCAGATCATTTTAAATCTGCTTTGAAAAGTCAGTTTCTATTGGAAGTGGGGGTTGGGAGGATGGGGGGTCACAAAGCAGATATGTCCAAACACCAGCCAGCCTTCCAGGACTCTCCCCACCCAGCAGACCAGAGAAGGCGGCTGCTTGCTGGGTCTATGGAGCGTCTGGACCCCAGTGTCCTGGAAGCACCTGCCGTGTGGGTCAGGTTTCCAAGAAGTCTGCTAGGGTTGCCTGCCTACCTCTTCTATTATTCAGGCAAATTATATGGAGCAAGTGCAGCAGCAGAATTATAATCAAGCTGCTCCCCGACCCCCGTATCTCCCTCAGCCCCTGTGTAACGCAGCCCCCTCCACCCACGCAGTCAGCAGCCCCCACCTTCCAGCCTTCTCCCACCAGCTTTGGGCACGACCCCTCTGCATGCCTGTTCCCAACCACGCAGGTGTCAGTTGGGCATTCTTGACCTGACAGAGTGCCAGGAGCCATGGAATGAGCTCTCAAACTTCCCCTTTTGTAAATTCATTCCCCTGACTGTGTGGCATGCAGTAGCTCATTTGTCTTGGTGCCAAAAGAGCATTTCAAGTTCAAGATCCTCATACATTTTGCTAACTCATATTTATGCAATGCCCATAGCAAAAAAAAAAATGTGGCACTCTGCGAACATCCCTTCCCGTATGCTCTCACTCCTGAGAGCAGAGCTCGCCCTGGCTCTGTGATCCTGTGCCAGGATCACCAAGGTCTCTGGGTAGACTGGGGGTGGGGGCACAGGAGCTGCATACACTGCAGTGTAACCCTTTTTTCTATGAGCATTCAGCTACCGACTGCAGCGTAAAGGCGGCCTCCATAGCGGACCTATGGTAAAGTGCACCTGGTTGCATGCCATGCCCACAGTCCTGAACTCTCCCAATGCCAGACCAATCCCACCAACACAAAGGTTTATTCTCACCAGTCACCCTCCTCCAGCTGGCCTCAGAGAGGAATGTAACCTGTTTCCCCTTTCTGCTTGTCTGCGCTTGACTGCCAGATTCACACAACACTTTTCCCTCTGTGCCTGGCTTATTGCACTTAGCACAAAGTTCTCCAAGTTTATCCAGATTGTTGTAAATGGCAGAATTTCCTTTTTGTCACAGTGAGTTAAGTTGCCCACCTTCAACACCAGCATTCCATAGTGGAATACCAGTTCAAGTTCTGGCTGTCCAGCTTCCAATGCAGCTCCCTAATCACCTGGGAAAGCAGTGGAGGATGGTTCTGGCACTTGGGCCCTGCCTCTCACATAGGGGAGACAGATGGAACTCCCGGATTCAGCCAAGGGGCCAGCTCCAACCATAGTGGCTATTGGAGGAGTGAACCAGCTGTTCCTCTCGCTCTCTCCCTCTCTGTCTCACAATCTTGCTTTTGAATACATAAAGAAATAAATAAGTCTAGAAACAAAAAAAGGTTTTCTGAGTCTGGTGCTATGGCTCAGTTGGCTAAATCCTTACTATGTGCCAGGATCCCATATGGGTGCCAATTTGTATCCCGGCTGTTCCACTTCCCAGCCAGCTCCCTGCTTGTGGCCTGGGAAACAAGTAGAGGATAACCCAAGCCTTGGAAATCTGCACCCACATGGGAGACCTGGAAGAAGCTCCTGGCTCCTGGCTTTGGATTGGCTCAGCAGCTCTAGCCATTGCGGCCACTTGGGGAGTGAACCAGCAGATGGCAGATCTCTGTCTCTCCTTCTCTCTGTAGATCTGACTTTCCAGTAAAAAATAAATCTTTAAAAAAAAAAAAACGGTTTTCTGTTTTGAAGACTGAGCAATATTCCCCTGTAGGTACTCCCTGCATTTCTTGATCCATGCATCTCCTGAGAAACCCCTCAGCCCTTTGCATGACTTGCATGTTACGGATGATGTTCGGTGAACGTGAGCGTGCAGGAGACCCTGGAGACCCCATTTCCAGGTCTTTTGGATTCATACCCAAAAGTGTGATTGCTGCATCCCGGCATCTTTTCTATTTTCAAATGTTCCTAGAACCTCAATGCTGTTTTCATGGCTGCCCTACCAGTTTATCTTCCCTCTTTCTCTTTGCTTTTCCCCCCTGTTAATAATAGGACAATGAAATTCTACTTTCTGCTAATAAGGTGCCCAATTCACAAGGATTTTTAGTATGCACATTTTTTTTTTCAAATTTTCTAGATTTGTTTGTTTATTTGAAAGGCAGAGTGACAGGTCTGGGGGAGGGCTGAGAGTAGGCCATCTCTGCATGCACAACACACGGGTCTCTGGTGAGCTCCGACTATTGTTGCCAGCGGCCTGAAGGACACTGTGTCTGTCACCTGGGGCAGGGGGACATAGACTCCTGGCTGCCAGGACCTTGTCCAAACGCCAGGTGTGCCCCCTGGTGGTGACATGACATGGGCACATCACTCAACTTGCAGAGTCTCCATGGCCTCCCCTAGCCCAAGGTGTGTGTGGTGATGATGGGATCATGTGTGGAGAGCTCTGAGCAGGGATTCAGCACTCAGGCAGCTCCTGGGAGAAGCGCTGGTCCCACAGCTGGCCAGTGCAGCACAGGTGGTGAATGGTTCGCAAGCTCCCATCAACACAAGCCTCACCTCTCCTCACCTGCGGCTCGGAGTGCCCCAAGGCAAGCATCCTCCCCCTACACGCCTACGTCTTTCAGCCCCTGTGACCTCCCACACATGCCACATACTGTCATGAAGCTGGGAAGCATTTCTCTCCATCCACATAGCTCCTCCCAGGCCTGCCTCCCTTTCATCCTCTCTGGAGGTTGACCACGTGGAGCCGAGCACTTCACAGTCAGCGCTGCTCCACCATGTGTACAACTCATCCAAGGTGTCCCCCAAGACAGCACAGCACCACCCAGAGCAAGGGGACAGAGACGCAGACCTTCCTGCGGGCGGTCACCCTCCTGCCATCGCTCTCTTGCCTCCCACAGGTGCCCACCATGATTCCCTGGGTGCTCTTGGCCTGTGCCTTCCCCTGTGCTGCTGACCCACTGCTCGGTGCCTTCGCTCGCAGAGACTTCCAGAAGGGGTCCTCTCAGCTGGTCTGCAGCCTGCCTGGCCCCCAGGGCCCACCTGGTCCCCCGGGAGCTCCCGGACCTTCGGGAATGGTGGGAAGAATGGGACTTCCCGGCAAAGACGGCCAGGATGGCCAGGATGGAGCACGGGGAGACAGCGGAGATGAAGGTAAGCAGCTCAGCACCTGCTCCTTCGAGCCCCAGCCCCGGGTTGACTGCGTCTGGCGTGGAAGGGATTCCTAAACTGGTATCCATCCCTTTCACTGCACACAAATCAACGTCTCTATAAACAGAACAGCACTTTCTAAGATGACTGTATCAAACCTCTGTCCTGGCTCCCACTGCAACTTGGAGGGATGGGGAGAGCTGACATGTAACCCAGAGAAAGCCGGGTCCCCAGAGTTCGCTCAGGAGGACACCTAGGCACCTTGCAGCACCGTGTGCTCTTACACACACCCCTCCACTCAGGTCTTGGACAGGAAAGGCCGTGCTTCCAGAAGGATCTAGCAGGGAAACCAAGAAGGATGCCCCCCAGGAGCGGCCTTTTCTGCATTGTCACCTCAAAAGCCCCAGGCCACTCCACTGTGTCTCTCTATACCTTCTCTTCTCGCAGCACCTTCTTGCGCCTTTTGAATATTGCATGTTCTCCAGGAACAACTTTGTGACTTTCCTTACTTGCTATTTTTTCCCATACTCTTTTAATTGACCTTTAATGGCAAAAGTTATACACAATGCACTGTCAAGAAAATCTCCAAACACACAAAGCTAATGCTGTAATTCCTGCCCCTTCGCATTCTGCCTGTGGCCGCCAGAGGGAGCCACTTAGTACGGCTGAGAGGGGCTCCCTCCGCCTTTGTCTAGGCGTTCACTAAGGCGTTTACAAACCCCAGCTGTTGCCAGACACTCAACCTAAACAATTGTTCCTGAAAATTAAACATTCAGGAATTAAATGCTTTTTGGAAATCAAGTTCCCCAAATATGGAAGACAGGAGAAATGCACAAGTATTACATGTGAACCCCCAAACCGTTAAGACCCGTGTAACACAAGGGTAACTTCGCAAGGTTAAAAAGAACAAATGGAAGTAAAAGTAAGGCATCCTCGGGATGCTTGGCTTCCCGCACCTGCTAAAGCGCACCCTGGCGAGCAGCAGCGATGGCGCAGGCTGGGTGCCCCTGCCCATCTGGGAGAAGCAGATTGGGCTCTGGCCTCCTGGCATGAGCGTGGTGTAACCAGGCTGCTGTGCGCGTTCCAGGAATAAAAGAGCCCAGAAGAGTTCTCTGCCTCTTCCTCCTGCTCTCTCATCTTTCCAAAAATACAACAAATCAATTTAAAGCATTTCTAAAAGGTTTTTTTTTTTGGTGCAGAAAAATTATGAAATCTACACATACTTTTTTCCATACTATGCATTTTCCTTGAACTTATCAAGATGCCACGTAGACCAAGGCAACACTTTAGGATGTGAAGTGCCTCGACTCTCTTTCCTCGCTCCCCCACACATGTAGTGGGAAGCAACGGTGACACTGGGAGGCTGGTGGTGCCAGCAAGCGTGAGGGAGAGTGAGCCAACACTTGCAGCCTGCTTTTCAAAGCAGCCACACCCCATTCTGCCACTCTACCGTGTCTACAATTGATTTAAGCTGTAATGTAAATCTTCATATTTTTTTGTTGTTGTTGTTTAAAATGTTGCATTGGAGCTGGTATTGTGGCATAGCTGGTAAACCACTCCCTGCAATACCAGAATCCCATATGGGTACTGACTCATGCCCTGTTAGCTCCACTTCCAGTCCAGCTGCCTGCTTGGACTCAAGTGCTTGGGCTCCTGCACCCACGCGGGAGACTCAGATGAAGCTCCTGGCTCCTGATTTTGACCTGGCTCGGCCCAGGCAAGCTATGACAGCCATCTGGGGTGTGTGGACCAGCAGGTGCAAAATCGCTTTCTGTCTCTCACTCTTTCTCTGTAGCTCTAACTTCCAAAATAAATAAATCTTTAAAATAGAATGAAATAAAATGTGTCACTGGGAGGTCATAAATATAATGCCCCCTGCATAACTGTTGGCCAAAAATGTTGTCTTGAGAGAAGTGTACAATTTATGCAGAAAGAACATGGAGAAGCAAAGATATTCTACAGGAAGACACTGTGGGATGGGGGTCTGTGGGACTTGCTATCTATGACATGGCAATGCTTATCCTAGGCCAGGCCCTATTCAATGCATCCAAATAGGCATAGAAGTATCCTGCCACCTGCTGTGCTCTCCTAAGGCCATATTAAAGAGGTTTGCTATAGTGTGTGAAAGTCTGCCTCCTGCCTAGAATTCTGCAGCAGATGATGGAACACAATTCTTTCATCATTTCCCTCTGGGAAAGTGTTGCTCTTTTCTTGGTTTGTCAACGTTTGTTTATTTAAGAGACAGACAAAGCCATCTTCTAGCTCACTCCCCACATGCCTACAGTGGCTGGTGCTGGGCCAACGTCAAGGCTGGGAAATCAATTCAGTTCTTTCATTTGGGAGGCAGGAACCCAATGACTTGAGCCGTCACTGCTGCTTCCCAGGGTCTGTGCTGGTGAGGAAACACACAGGAGTCAGGCTTAGACATGGGCCAGGTGCTCTCATCTGGGATGCACGTACCTTAACCGCTGGACCAGACACCTGCTCCCTGCTGTTGTGTCTTGCCACCATATGTGAGGCTGCAATTAAAACCCCATGCACTTAGTCCAGGCTCTTGCGCCGAAGGCAGATTTTACCAAGATCAAAGTGTTAAAGACAAGAGGTTCTTCCAACTCCCTTCTCAACCTACTGTTGCCAGCATAGCACAGGAAAGCACGGGTCCCTTCACGACCCTGAGGCTCCAGCTGCAGGGATGGAAGGCCAAGGCCCTCAGCCTGTGTTGGGGCCTGGGAGGGCCCCTCTGTAACACCTGCTGCTCTGTCTTCCAGGTCCACCTGGCCGGACAGGTAATCGGGGAAAGCCAGGACCCAAGGGCAAGGCTGGGGCCATTGGGCGGGCTGGCCCTCGCGGTCCCAAGGGGGTCAGCGGTGCCCCCGGGAAGCATGGTACACCAGGCAAGAAGGGGCCCAAGGGCAAGAAGGGAGAGCCAGGCCTCCCGGGACCCTGCAGCTGTGGCAGTGGCCATGCCAAGTCAGCCTTCTCAGTGGCAGTGACTAAGAGCTACCCACGGGAGCGGCTGCCCATCAAGTTTGACAAGATTCTGATGAATGAGGGAGGCCACTACAACGCATCCAGTGGCAAGTTCGTGTGCGGCGTGCCAGGAATCTACTACTTCACCTATGACATCACACTGGCCAACAAGCACCTGGCCATAGGCCTGGTACACAACGGCCAGTACCGCATCCGGACCTTCGACGCCAACACGGGCAACCACGATGTGGCCTCGGGCTCCACCATCCTGGCCCTCAAGCAGGGTGACGAGGTCTGGCTGCAGATCTTCTACTCGGAGCAGAACGGACTCTTCTACGATCCCTACTGGACAGACAGCCTCTTCACAGGCTTCCTCATCTATGCCGACCAGGACGATCCCAACGAGGTGTAGACCGGCTGCGGGTACCGGGTACCGCAGGACTCCTGCTGGGGGTTGTGGCAGTTCCTTGCCTCAGCTTCTAGCCTCTGCCTCTTTTTTTCCCCTTCATCATTAAATCTAAGGCTTTTTATTCACCTGTCCATCTCATTTTTTTTTTTTTCTTTAGCGTCCACGGAATAGCAGGCAGTGGAAGGATGGCTGTGAGGCAGGACACACGGTCTTAGTCTCTGAGGGCCTTCCAATGCAGTGGGATAAATGAGCAACTACTGTAACCGTTAGGCCAGGACGGACATGGACACACCGTGGCTCTGTGTGACAAAGGTAACGGGAGACAGGGAAGGAGGGTCTGTGGGTTTTGTTTTAATTTAGAGTAAGTCTGCGAATGTTCACACACAGCTCAATGAATTTTTACTCGTGTGCACACCTTTGTAATACTACATAAAGAGCAGTCTCTACCAGCCAGTGGAGGAAAGATCTCTATTTGCTCCCCTCTTCTCTGTTCTGCCTTTCAAGTAGATAGATGTAAGAGTATATATATATATATATTTTTTTAAATTTATTATACACTAAAAATCTAATATATATTAAATATATATTTTCTAATGGAGGTTTAATATATAAAATGTATTTATTTATACATAATCATAAATATAAAATATATTCTGCATTATGTATTATATGTGATTAATATATGTCATGTTAGAATATATGCTATATATTATCATATGTGTATTGAATATATAATATATATAATATAGCATATATAGTTTAAAGATTTATTTGTTTTTATTGGAAAGACGGATTTTACAGAGAGAAGGAGACACAAAGATCTTTCATCCACTGGTTCACTCCCCAAGTGGCCGCAATGGCCGGAGCTGAGCCGATCTAAAGCTAGGAGCCAGGAAGTTCTTCCAGGTCTCCCACGCAGGTGCAGGGTCCCAAGGCTTTGTGCCATCCTCTGCTGCTTTCCCAGGCCACAAGCAGGGAGCTGGATGGGAAGTGGAGCAGCCGGGATTAGAACCGGCGCCCATATGGAATCCTGGCGCATGCAAGGTAAGGATGTCAGCTACCAAGCTACCGCGCCAGGCCCGAAGAGGTGCGTGTTGAAGCCCAGCGGGAAGGTGGATCAATGGGAAGACCTCGGGGGAGGAGTCTTCAGGCAAATGCACAAGCACACATCCCTGGCCACAGGAAGGAGCTGGGCATGTCCGCAGACCTGCCTGAGGACGGAGCAGAGGGGCAGGGTGAGAAAGGAGAGGGCTCCCTGAGGCAGGGAGGCAAGCAGAGCGTTCCCGGCCACGCGGGGTTCATCACTCTCGGGGAAGCTGAACAAGGCACATGGCGGGTGTGGCACTGCAAGGCGGGGGCCACCTTGAACCCATTCACAGTGTACTTGTCCGTGACCGGCCACTTGCAGGCCTGCTTCTGGGTCCACACCGCCCTCCGAGCCGCTGCCCTGAGGGGACAGGGTTGGAGATTCCACACGCTGCAGGCTCACTGCTGACCCACATTTCCATGTACGCAGAGCTGACGGCCTGCGAAGCCACCGCACCAAGTGGCCTGTGCTGTCACAGCCCCCACAGATCAGTTGCTGGAGAGGCACTTTCCTGACCACCTGCTCTGACAGACCCCCAGCTGGGCCCCCAGGGACAGGGAACACTGCTCAGGGTGTTCCATGGCTTAAGACAGGATTTATTCAAAATAACTCCATTCTCAGCCAAGCGCGGTAGCCTAGCACTTAAAGTCCTCTCCTTGCATGTGTTGGGATCCCATATAGGCACCGGTTCTAATCCCATCAGCCCAACTTCCCATCCAGCTCCGTGGTTGTGGCCTGGGAAAGCAGTCAAGGACGGCCCAAAGCCTGGGACCCTGCACCCATGTGGGAGACCAGGAAGAGCTCCTGGCTCCTGGCTTCAGATCGGTTCAGTTCCGGCCATTGCGGTCACTTAGGGCGTGAATCAACGGATGGAATATCTTCATTTCTATTTCTTCTCCTCTCTGTATATCTGCCTTTTCAATAAAAATAAATAAATCTTTTTTTAAAAGTGAGGGAGGCACTCACTTCATACGCCAAAACTCACAAGAGTGCCAAGATGCAGTAATCTACATAAATAATGTTTCACTCAATGTTTTCACAAACAAAATTAGGGCAGAATGCTCAGTGATGAACAAAATATCACAGTGCTATGTGGGGACAGGGCAGGAGGGAGGCAGTTGTGGGGGTTGGAGTCGCCGCTCTTCACGCTGCCTGTCATCTCCACTGCTGCCACCAGGGGGCGAGCTTCTACTGCGCAGAGCGCCAACCCAGAGGCACCGAGAGGCAGGGCCATTTCCCTGGTCTCCTAGGAAGCTAGATTTCTAGACTGAGAGCAAACAAGAAAACCAAGAGATCCATGCTCCCGTTATCCTGAGAGCATAACCCAGACCTGGGAAAACGAAAAAGAATGAAGAAACAAACGATGAACCTGCCCCTGGTGTTGTCCGAGACATTGGACCATCAAATACACAGCAGCCGGTCCAAGAAACTGGAAAGCCGGGTTCCAAGCCTGCTCCATCCTCTGATTCCCTATGCGGCTTTGGCCACACCTGGTGGCCTCAGCTTCCCAGTTATAACATGAAAGATTGGGGCAGATGATCCCTGAGCCCACGTAGACAACATCTATGTTACAGTCTCCAAAACAGAGCCAGGAAAGGAGCTACGGCTTCCACAGTGTACATGAACGCAGCTGCTGGCATCGGGCCAGCGCGCTGTGAAAGGCCGTGGGTCCACTGCCGGCCTTCTGCTTGCGCTGTTCCACCGACCACAGGGCACCTGCCTAAAGGAGCTGCACCTGCCTAAAGGAGCTGCACCTGCTGACTTCCACATCAGAACTGTGATGGGAGCAGGTGCTTTTCCTTGCTGGTGTCACCCGGACCACTCAGAGACCCGGAGGTAATAGCTTTTCTTATTTAAAAACAAAAAGACATTCTTCATCTACTTTGTGAGTTTTGCATCAGAATACCTCCGATTTGAAAGTCAGAGAAGCGCCCTCCCCCAGGGCATGGCAAGGGAAAGTGCGAATCCAGACCTTAAGGGCCACTGGGCAAGATGAAGAGGGGACAGAGCCCAGACTGTGAAGGCCAGTGAGTGACACAAAAGTCTCCTGGTCCCCAAGCCACCACAGGATCATTTTAGGTGGGCGAGTAGCTGGGCGACTTAGGATTGCAAAATACCACTCTTGGGGCTGGGCATGGGACACAGTGTTTTAAGCTGCCACCTGCAGTGTCCGCATCGTCCACCTCCAATCCAGCTCCTTACGACAGGTGGGTGCTCGGGTCCCTGCACCCACACGCGAGGCCCAGATTTACTTACTTTTATTGGAAAAGCAGATTTATGGAGAGAAGAAGAAACAAAGGGAAAGCTCTTCCATCCACTGGCTAACTCCCCAAATGCCACAGTAGCTGGAGCTGAGCTAATACAAAGACAGGAGCCAGGAGATTCCTCTGCATCTCCCACATGATGGCTTTGGGCCATCGTCCACTGCTTTCCCAGGCAATAAGCAGGATGTGGACTGGAAGTGGGGCAGCCAGGACACAAACCAGCACCCAGATGGGATGCTGGCGCTTGCAAGTGGAGATTAGCCATTTAAGCCATCCTGCTGACCCAACTCTGTCGTTCAAATACAAATTTTTTTAAAGGTTAATTTATTTTTATTACAAAGTCAAATATACAGAGAGGAAGAACTTCTGTCCACTGATTCACTCCCCAAGCAGCCGCAACAGCTGGAGTTGAGCCAATCCGAAGTCAGGAGCTTCCTCCGGGTCTCCCACGCGGGTGCAGGGTTCCAAAGCTTTGGGCCGTCCTCCACTGCTTTCCCAGGCCACAAGCAGGGAGCTGGATGAGAAGCGGGGCTGAGGGATTAGAACTGGTGCCCATATGGGATGCTGGCACATTCAAGGTGAGGACTTTAGCTGCTAAGCTACCACGCTGGACCCCAAATAAATTTTTTAAAATGGCAGGAAAAGGAAAGTATCACTCTTGTAGCCATAAGCACATTTTAACTTTCAAATAAGTGTTTGTCATATAAAAATAATAAGAAGAAAAATAACTTGTCCTGAGCCCTTATAGGATGGGAGTAATCAGTGTGCCAAGGTGGATCACTTCCGACCTTGGAAACAGCACAGCAGGCAAGCAGTCTCCGTGCTGGGCTTCTGCAGGCCGTAAGGAAGTCAGCACAGTTGAGCTGCCTGAGGTCACCCAGCTGGAGAAATTGCAGAGCTGGAACTCAAATCCAAGTGTGTCCGACCCCCAGAGGCCCCAGCCATGGGGACAGCAGCACCCTGCCAGCCAGCCAGCCAGCAAGTCCTCACGTGGGACACACACTGGGAGTGCAAACTCTCAATACTCCTGCAGGGAGTATGACAGATTCCCAGCCTGCCCGCCCCTCCCTGCACCGCTGCACTTAACCTGGAGTGCAGCCTGGACTTAGGGGAGTTGGGGGAACGCCTCGGGTCTGCTGAGGCGCCAGGTTGAGTGGTTGAGATCCGCTGGCTTACCGCCCAGGAGAACCGCTCCTCGGGACAGAGCTTGGGCTGAGCTCCAAGCTTTCCTGGCCACTCGTCTCTTCTGTGACTTTCAGTGAACAGTTCTGCCTGCCTGCCGCCAGAAGGCTGCCCCGGGAGGTGACCGGGGTTCTGGGATCGACAGATGGAGGTCGGAGAAGTTGGGTGACACTGTGTTGGCTTTCAAGGTGTGGCAGGCAGAGCGAAACCCTCAAGGCTTTGTCTCTGAGCCCTGCCAGTCGCCTTCCCTCTGGCTGAGAGCCAGGCTGCGGGGAGAGGAGGAGAAGGAGGCAGCCAGCACATCTACAGAGGGCATTGCCAGGGTCAGGGGCTTCCTGCGACCAGCCAGGGACTCGCCTGTTCATGTGAGAACATCTGGAATTGTGGGAGATAGAGAGCTCCCCTCAACACCAAGTCCCTCCCGCAAGAGGTCAGGGTTGTCTCAAGTCTGGGTGATCAAAAGAACCTACTTCGCCTGCCCCTGGTGGTAGGGGCACCATGGCCTCATGTGCCT